TAAGAAAAAAACTTTTTTTAAAATTTTTTTTTAAAAAATTTTTCTTTTTTTTTTTTTTTTTTTTTTTTTTTTTTTTTTTTTTTTTTTTTTTTTTTTTTTTTTTTTGTGAGTTACCTGGTTTGGGGAGTTGCTTGCTGTCCAGATTAAAGGTGTGGCCGAGGCCAGAGGGCTTTCAAAGCACAGGACCAACCATGTGTGTGTCAGAAAGGGGGTGTTTTAGGTTTAATTAGAATATTTGCTCCTCAGTTAGCATTGATGTTTATTTTTGTTTCCCCAAGGCACACCGCCCTGCATGTTTTAGGTATTCCCTTCCTTCAGCCCAGCTGATTTCAATCGACTGATTAACAGGCGTTTTTTTTTTTTGTTGAACTGCAATCAACTGAATCAGGCACATTGAAGCAGGGAAACCTCTAAAACATGTAGGACTGTGGGCCTTGAGGACCAGGGTTGGGGAAACACTCATATAAGTTGCCCTTCTGTTGTTGTGCGGGGTTAGTTTTGGGAGATGAGGTGTGAATACTTTGTTTGCTCAGTTAGTAGAGTCATTTCTTTCTGAGAACAGCTATGCTTAGTTGACATTTTTAATTTGCCCATTTACTGTATTTTGAACTTTGAAGACATTTTTTTCCTGTGTCCTCTGTGCCTCACAAGCTTTTCTCAGGAATGTTCCAGCTCTCCACATCTTGCTGATGTAGTCAAAGTCCAGTCAGACTGGAGGGAATGTGTGCATAATCTTCAAATGTCACAGATTCTCAGTTGGATTGATGTCTGGACTTTGACTGGACCATTCAAACACATGGATATGTTTTGGTTTAAGCCACTTTTGGTAGTTGTACTGTTGGGAGGTCAGCATCCTCCCTCATCTCAGTTTTTTGCAGCCTCTAACTGACTTTCTTATATTGCTGCCCTGTCTTTAGCCCCATACACCTTCCCATCAGCTCTGTCCGATTTTCTGTCTCCTTTGAAAGAACTCAGGACCTTCTCGCTGCAAGATCTTTCTCACACCGTACATTGTTCAGATAAAATACCAATAAGAACCATTAATGTTTGCGTTTATAGCTTTCACAGAGTTGTAGGTTATGTGTCAGTGATAAACGACCTTCAGACATTCAGTTTATCTGGATCTGAAAGTTATTCCTGATCTCCGATGTTGATTATCCCACTCTGAGCAAAATGTTAAATGTCTAAGCTGCTCAACATCTGAGCACAAATCTGTCTTAGCATTTTTTAAAGCACATTTTAACAATCACTCCTTCACTTCTGTGGACTTGGCATCTAATACTTCATCACATTTCTTTTTTACATTGTCTTTATATTGTTGCACAACATTTTCACTGTTACTCCTCGATATATTGTTTGCATCTCATTAGAAAAGGTCAAAAGTCTTATTTTTAATTGAATAAAAACACAGCAAAGCTGCATACAAAGATGAATAATCGTTTGGCACTACAAAGAAATAGTACTTTACTGTCAGCAATTTCAGAGACTTTATTAACAATATCTAAAGGGAAATATTTTTTGTAATTTTATCACACAAGGGATTACATTTCACACAATTTTTCAGCTCCATAAATTGATTAAACTATTGATTTAGCTCTTTATGGAACATCCCTCTGGAGCAGGCTTGTGAACCTGTATGTCATTCACACATTTTTAAAATTACTTAACTTTAAAAAAACTACTGACATGGATGTTTAAGACTTACAGATTAAGAAAAAAAAATCCCACTGTAATGCATAGATCTATGACTTAATAAAACTTAATGTAACATAAACACAGTTAACAATCATTTTAAGGAATTACTTGCACACTACATATTTAATAATACATTTAGTAAGTTATTAACACATTTAAATATCTAATGTTTTTTTTAAGGCAACCTATGACTGCAGTAATTTGGTAAAATCAATGATGTAAAGCTTTAAACATATGACAAATGTACATTTTAATTACTTATTTCCAAATTCAATGTACATACTCTACTTAATATGTATTTTTTTACTTTTGTATTGCGTTGATATTTTTCAACTGTCACATCAATATAGAATATTTTTCACAGCTTAGCTTTTTGTGAAATTACGTGCCACTTGTGTGGCACTCCTTCCCGTATTGAGTGGCAAATTTTATAAATATTTAAAATCAACCACCAGCATAGGCGTAGGA